GAACAGTGTCCAGTGCATAGTGCATACTGGAGGGAAGCTCATCATTATCATTATTACCCCTCCATCTACCCACCTACATATACATGCCAGAGATGGAGAAATGCTCAGCTATAATGATACGTTATTGTTAAGTGCTAGGATTTAGAGTGATTCTGTTTTTAAATCTCTTCTCCATTTCCCCCCCCCCCCCCCCGTAATCCTTGAACTCTTTATAACAGACACATATATTTCGTAAAACCCTCAAGTCATTCTGAGGGGAAAAAGTGAAGATTCTAGAGTCAGACTTCCTAGGTTTAAACCCCAACTCCATTGCCTAGGAGCTGCGTCACCATCACTGAATCGGTTTTTATTTTAATTAATTAATTAATTTATTTATTTAAGAGAGAAAGAGAGCATGAGGGGGGAGAGATGAAGAGGGGCAGAGGGAGAGAGACAATCTTAAGCAGGCTTCACTCTCAGTGCAGAGCCCAACACAAGGCTCCTTCCCACGACCCCGAGATCATGACCTGAGCCGAAGTTAAGAGTCGGACGCTCAACCAGCCCAGCCACCCAGGCACACCTGAATCTGTTTTCTCTTGAATAATAATAATAATAATAATAATAATAAAGGTAATAATATCACTTACCTCTGCCAGGGGTTAGGAGAATTAAATGAGATATCTAGGTAGAGCTTGGCATTGTACCTGGCAGAGAATGAGAGTGAGGCTATTAGGAGTAGAAGTGGTGAAGGCTGTACTATTTCTTATGGCAGTGACCGTGTTCCATTGACCTCAATGTCCTTGGCATGTGGTAGCCATTCCAGAAACAGCCGGTAGTTTAGCTGGAGCCACCTCAGGCAGAGCCTGGGAACATTCTCTGTCAAGGTAGAAGAAAGGGGGGAAAAGTTTTCAAGTACCTTCCTCCTTTAGGCTCAAGGATTGGTCCATCTGGCAACTGGGAAGCACAAGTTATTTCCTCCAAATCCTTCAGGCTCTCTGGAGAGATGAGGTCCTTAGAGGTTCCCGTCATTGTTTTCTTCTTCTCCCATGTGCTGGGCCAGCTATAGGCAAGAAATTCCCCTGAAAATTTCCAATAACGCAAACCTTAAGTGAACAATTACAGAGAAAACTGTAGCCATGACTGTGTGTGAGGGTGCTGGGGGAGGGTATTCTTTGACATCCTAAAACAATCCTTCAGAGGCAAAAGAGTCTTTCCCATATTTTATAAACACTCTACAATAAACATGCATTCCTTTCATTTTTTAAAAATACCCATTTATTTTGAGAGAGAGAGGGTGGGGGAAGGGCAGAGAGACGGGGGAGAGAGAGAGAGAGAGAGAGAGAGAGAGAGAGAGAGAATCTCAAGCAGTCTCTACACTCAGTGCAGAGCCCGACACAGGGCTTGATCTCATGAACTGTGAGACCACAAACTGCGATGAGATCAAGAGTTGGACACTTAACCAACTTAGCCACCCTGGCACCCCAACATGCATTCCTTTTAAAATAAGAAATCCAAAGTTAAGGAATCCTATTCTTTGTAACCATGGTCCCAGGATTCATGTACCTGGTAGGCACATTTCTCATGTTTTCTCCTAGTGCCTGTAGGATGCAGAGTGTTGTTAAGTGGAACAGTGAGGACAGCCTACTGTTTGAGATGTTTGAACCTCAAGCCATTCACATTTACAAACAGCACATTGCCAATAATGTTGTTTTTGGTTTTTTTTATTAAAAGAAATCCATTTTGGGGTGCCTGAGTGGCTCAGTTGGTTGAGCGTCCAACTTCGGGTCAGGTCATGATATTGCGGTTTGTGGGTTCAAGGCCCCCACTGAGCTCTGTGCTGACAGCTCAGAGCCTGGAGCCTGCTTTGGATTCTGGGTCTCCCTCTCTCTCTGACCCTCCCCCGTTCATGCTCTGTCTCTCTCTGTCTCAAAAATAAGTAAACCTTAAAAAAAATAAAAAATCCATTAATTTGGGAAATACATTTTGAGCACCTACTACGTGCCAAGTACCATTTTAGGTAGTTGTGGTTTGTTTGCTAAATGTGGCAACCCTGTGTATTGGGGGCTCCTGTTAAGGGACAAGGCAGAGGTGGTGGAAATGAGTGATTAGGGGGCACAACAGCTGTGGCGCGGCTCTAGTGACTACAAGAGTGACTGGATGTCAGCTATAGTAAATCTGACCCTGAACGTGACAGTGACATGAGAGTATAATAGTCAAAGTGACTAATCGGGCAGTAACAAGGACAGCTGTGTACCCAGTAGGGGCCTGCTGGATATTGGCTTGACTATGGGGCAGTGAAAGTAGCTGAGTGACAATGACAGTGAAAACAACCGAAAGGGTGACAGCTGGGCACAGAGTAAAATTGCTATACTGTACAGAACTGTTTGAAGTTTGTGGTCCTTGACAGTGGTCGCCTGTGGTCGGACAGTGACAGTAAACAATAATGAACCCAACGACAGCAACAATGCAAGTGACAGTTCTGCCCAGCAGATTGAATTTGTGATTAAAAACGGTGATGGAGTGGGAGTCAGCCTGACAGTGTCAGCTCTCAGAACGACCGAATATTGACACTGTGGATGTAACAGCTGTAACCACAGAGGGAACTCGGCATTGTACTGAGACTGCTGGATTTGGGTGGCATGACTGGCAGTGACAGAAAAATTGGCTGCGCGTCAGTGACGGAGTGACAGTGTGAGGTTCAGTGGGCCAGCACTGATGTGACTTAATTTGTCTGATACTGTCTGGATCTGACTTAATCTCTTTGGCTGTATGAGGGTGGCAACAGGAGCTCCAACGTGGAACGCTCACTGCGCAACAAAGCGTGTGAAAGAAACTGAGCAGAAGAAAAGCTATGAGCCCCCCCCCCCCCCCCCGCAACACGCACCCTAAATTCCTGAGCGGGAGGAGGGAAAGGCGGGATCAAAACGCCTTCCGGGCACCTCGATTGGCTGATACGACCCTGGTAGCCTATCCCGTCCGAGCGGTGCCAAGACTCTCCACCTATGAGGATGCGTCTGGGGACGCGGCTCAGGTCACGTCTCTGCCTTGCACGTGAACATGTTTTGGAAAAATGTAGAGAAACCTTTTTGTGTCTACTTCTGTGCCATTCTTGAAACAAGATCCCCGCTCTAGTACTGCCCAAGCGAGAGTCCGTGGAACCCCATCAAAACTTTCATAAGAGAGTGTGGGGAGGGGAGGGAGTGGCTAAGGTCATAGGTCAGAGAACAGGCTAACAACCGGTTAGCCCCCGCGCCCTAGCATTGGTGGAGGGCGCGCTCGACGCAGGCCCCGCCCCCCGGCACGTGACCACGGCGCGCGGGGCAGGCCGGGCCGCCCCCTCGCCGCTCTACTCCTTACGCGCCGGCCTCAAAATGGCCGCCTTCTGGCGTCTCTGCCGCTGTTGAATGGAGAAAGCTTTATTGTTCCCTTCGGGCAGGAGTGTTCGTGTCCTCTATGGCGCTGTCAATAAAGAACGGCAGTTTGAATCGGTGCTGAACAGGTAACCATAGAAACGGGGCTGGGACTCAGCGTGGAGACCCCTTTAGCTGTTGAGGCCCGAGAGGCGCCCCAAATGAGGGGCGCGCTGAGACCCTTCGGCGTGGCGAACTCCGTGGGGCTCTGCCAAGTCGCAGCCGCCTCCTCCTGCCCCGGACGCGGACCCCCTGGGGAGGCTCCCACCCCGAGCGCAGGCTCGGCTGTAAGTCTCCGGTGGGGAGAGGCCGCGGGGCCCTGTCGGGGTGCACCCGGCTTGGCCCCCGCCTGGGGCCTGCCCTCGCTCGTCACCGCCTGCTCCTCGGCGCGATCCGAGGCCTCCTCGCTGCTGCTCTTCGAGTCTTTACCCCCTCCTGCCAAGTCTGCGCCAGGCTTCGGCAAACTTCGGCCTGGGGCCAAATCCCCGGTCCCCCACCCCACCCCGTTTTGGTCTGTGGGGGACTAACAGTGGTTTTTACATTTTTAAATTCTTGGGAGGGAAAAAAGAAGACTTTCTTGTAATTTATGAAATGCATATGAAATCAGATTTCAGTGTCCCCAAGTGAAATTTTGTTGGAACATAGCCATGTTCATTGTTTTATATCATCTGTGGCTCGTTTCTTGCTACGAGGGCTACGTTGAGTTGTTGCGACAGACATGGCATGGCTTTGAGGGCATGGCCCACAAGGCCAAAAATACCTAAGGTGCGGCCCTTCCCAGAAGTGTGCCAGCCCCTGCCCTAGACACAAGTAGACTGGTCAGCGTTGTCCGGCGATTCTTCTGATCATTTCTCACGGAAAGGGAAACTCGAGTTAAAACTACCCCATGCACCTTGATCTGATCTGTTAATCAATGTGGGAATTGTTTCCCACTGTTTTTAGTAACAGTACCATCCACCCAGCGCCTACAATAAGGTGCTTCGTTTCTATTCATACCCAGCGGTTTTTTGCTAACAACATTTCCTAAGTAAGTATCCATGTTTCCGCTTAAGACAGGAATACCAGATTCTGAGGTTAAGCTTCCTAAGGGTGTACTAGATTATAGGTCTGGCAGATGGAGCTTATTCCAGGGAGCCCTCTGCTTTGTGACCCGCCTCACACTGCTGGAACTTCTTTGAAGTCTCAACCTGGGGCTCTTTGGTTCTTCCCTGAAATCGTATTCCAAATCTTTGTATGGCTTATGGAGATCTAATTACAACCTCAAAGTGAAGTTTTTCTTAGCCAAATCATCAAATTTATACCACACCCTACTTTCTAATTTAGATGCATTTCTTTTATGGCAGTAGTTCCCAAACTTAGCTGTTCATCCCTAGTTGAACTAACAAACGATTTCAGAACACCCCTTGCCTGCACGAATGCATTCATGAATCTTTCAGTGTTTTTTTAGCACCTACTACGTGCTAAGGATGATTCAAATCCCTGGAAGAAAAGTGGTGGACAAGATCAACAAGCTCTTTGCCCTTTCACAGGATTTAAATTCAGCAGGGTCTTGGACAGATGGTATGCCTGTAAACAAAGCTAATTTCAACTACAGCTGTCATAGCATCATAATAAAGTCACTAGTTCATATTTATTAAATGATTTCTGCAAAGCACTGTGTGCTCTGTTTACATGGAATATCATTCGGCTCTCTCACCAACACTGTGACGAAGGTAGTATTAATATTCCTGTTGTAAAGATGAGAAAATTGAGATTCAGAGCAATGTCCAAGGTTACATAGTTAATGTACGAGGGAGCTGGGTTCTGAACCTCAACTGATCACACCAGTCTGTATTATTCCGTCTGTTAATTACCTTTTCTTGGGAGGCTCTCCAGGGCAGGACCACACCTTACCTATTTTTGTATCAGCTGCTAGCCAGTGCCCACAGCCTGTAGTCTGGTAGGTATTAAATAAACAATTCAGGCCATTTGTTGATCAAATATTTGAGTGCCTGCTATGTACCAGACCCCACTGTGCTGGGCCTTATGATTACCGTGAGCAAGATGGACCTAACGCCTCGTGTCTAAGGCAAATAGTGGCAACTGTGATAAAGGTGATAAAACAGTGCTGACCCAGAGGACCCCTCTTACCGGCCTGGCCCAGCAAGGCCCTTGAGAAAGGTAGTTTAAACCAAACCTGTTTGAGTGACGAGAATCCAGTCCAGGCAAGAAGGGAGAAGGGAGAGAACTGGGAAGGAAGAACTTTTTAGTAGGATCAGAGATTGTGAGGTGGCAAGAATGTGGGGTGTTGGAAGGATTGAAAGAAGTGAGTAGTGGTGCCGTGATTCAGTCCTGTGCTCTGAGTCGCCGCCCTCAAGCCAGCTTTACTGCTGGGAGAGCTGCGTGCCGTGGGCCGGTTACAGATGGTCTAGCATGTGAAATGCCGATAGTGGTACCTCCTGAAAAGGGTTGTTGTGTGGATTAAATAAGAAAAAGTGTAATAACAGGTTTGCTGTTTCCTTTTTGTTGTTGTTACACATGTTGCTGAGTTCCAATCAGAGAAAACCAAATTGGGCCCCAAATGGAAATGTATTTAAAGTGCTAAATAATAACAAAAGTCTAGGATTATGTTACCAACAAAGCTGAGGGTGTGTGTGTGTATGCTTCTATCTTTGGGGGCGACAGGAACAGCTCTTATTTTTTCTCATTGTGCTTGTTGAGAGAGGAACTCCTCCAAACGAGTTTTAAGTTTTTTTCAACCAAATTATACAACTATCTATTCAGAGTACTTTTCATTATTTTAGTGTGTTCCTCCATTGAAGGCATGTGCGTTTTCTTAAGGCAGTGTAAGAAAATGACAGGTTTCTTCTAGTTGGTGGTCATTTCAAAGTTTGTTTGCAAATGATTTTTGGTTTCCTCTGAAAGTTTTCAAAATAATGTTGCATACTTGAAGCAGGGCATTGGACGCTTTAAAGCAAGTAACAGACTTTTTGAATTGGTAAAAATAGGAAGGTATTTGGGGTCATGAACGTGAAAAATTGCAGAGGCAATGAGAAATCAAGCAGACCGTGTAAGAGGATCGGCAGTGTCAGGTTTTGCTTTAAACTGCGTCTAGTAACCCGATTGCACGTGTCCTTAGAAGGTGTAATCCAGCCGGGCAAATGGAGCAAGGAACAGAGCAAGGAACAGGACGGAGAGGGGCATGTTAATGCAATGTTAAACAATAAGCCCAGCATTAAGTTGCTATTTTAGGTTTGGGTGGGACCTGCACATTTAAAGTGTTGCAGTTTTACTCTGTTATTTGGGTCTGTTGGGTTCCAGTAAAGAGAAGGTGGTAACACTAGTTTTGAAGGATAATATAAAACTGCAGGGAGAGCGAGGGCATACCAATTTGTTTTTCAATCTATTTTATTTCAGTTCAAAGCCTCATTGCAGACGGGCAGCGCAGGGAAACGAGCCACGCTTTGGCATACTCAACTGCTTTTGGAGATTGAAGAAGACTGAGTACAACCAAAGTGTGGTTGTTTTTGTGGACTATCTGTCTGCAAAGAAGCTCTGAACTGAAATAAAATAGATTGGAAAACAAATTGGTATGCCCTGTTGCCTCATACTGAGTGTTTACATTACCCTTCTGGAACACTGCCTGTACCAGCACCCTGGAGGAAGGCAGTGACCCCTCAGACGCTTTCAACTCTTAAAGCGAGTGAGCTCTTTGATTTTCACAAGGAAATTGAATTGGAATTTATGGTTTTCTGGCTCTCCAATAGGCTGCCTCCGAAAGCCATCATCCCGATAATGTGAAAAAAGCAAGCTGTAACCATGTAGAGGAAAGAATTAAATATTAAGGGCATTTAAATTCGGAGATGAGATTGTCACTGTCTTGAAGTCCTGCAGAGGGTGTGGTGTGTCGTTTGCAGAGACCTTTGCAGTTTTGAGACGTCTGCAGCCCTCAAGGGAGAGAAGGGTAAGGAAAGAACGCCGGCTTTCCTTGTATTTCCCTGATGTTGTTATTTAACTCCAAATCCTCAAATTCATGACACCCAAGTTTTTCCTGTCCTTAGATGACGTACATACATTCTAGCTGATCCCAGATTGTTAAACTGGGGTCAGTGGTTGAGCTGCGGGGGATTCTCGAATCCTTTGAATTTGCCTGCAGATTTGTCTGTCGTTTTTGTGGGGAGTGAGCCCATTCTTTAATCAGGTCTCAGAGGGATCCTTGACCCTCTAAAGGTGCAGAGCCAACAATGAAACGTCACATGTAATAAAAACCAGTGAACCAAAGTGGTGATGAGTCCCGCCTGAAACCAGTTACTTCTTACTGCCGTGTGGTCTTGACTTCAGTTTTGAAAGTATCTTTCCAGGCCTTGTTTCTTCTCTAAAGTGGCCAAGCAGAGTTGGGTGTTCCTGTCTCATAGGGATATTTACCCAGTGAGGTACTTGGAAATGCCTCAGAGATCATCGTCCTTATTTTATAGGAGACCGTTGAAATGGCAGTGCGTTGTCTTGGCAACCTTGGTAGCCATTGCCCTGCTGGTTTCCTCTGACCCGTGAAAGGAACAGTGGTAGGAGCCTAATACTCTGGCTCTAGGAATCCACTTCTTGCTAATGGACGCGGTTCCTCAGGACCACAGGAAAGTAAGGTTAGGAGAGAGAGGAAGAGGAGAGGGATTCACGGAGGCAGAGACCGAGGAGCAAAGGAGGAGGGAGGCTGCCCCTGTATCTGCCCTGGCAGCCCTGTGTATCTATGGAGGGAAAGAAAGAGCTCTTTTTGAGGCCAAACTTCTCTTTCTTATCTAAACTAAGACCTCTGAAAAAGTAATTCGTTGGTGTAGTTTCTGGTTTTATTTATTAGTACTCAAATGGAAAGAAAAGGAAGGAACTGTTTTAAGTCATTTTCTTAGGACATTTTGTAAACATGGGACCCCAGTAGAAAACTGCCGTGGGCCAGTTTGTTTGGCCCATATAGTGTTTAACAGCGAGTTGCTTACATTTAAAGAGACTTTATGTCTTTCCGGTCCCTGGAGGTATTTGTGTGAGTGACCTCTGTTATCCGCCTGAGAGTCTGATTCTGAGACTCTAGATGTTTTACGAAGTCAGTTTTTATGAAGGAAAGGGCCCAAGAAGGAAGAGGAGATTAGAAACAAAGGATTACTAGCTTTTCAGCCTCCAGATATTGGTTACGTGACATTTTTTTTTAAAATATAAAAACAAAGCGAGGGGCACCTGGGTGGCTCAGTCGGTTAAGCATCTGACTTCAGCTCAGGTCATGGTCTCACGGTTCCTGAGTTCTAGCCCCGCGTCAGGCTCTGTGCTGACACCTCAGAGCCTGGAGCCTGGTTCAGATTCTGTGTCTCCCTATTCCCTGCCCCCCCTCGCCACCCCCCCCCCCCATGCAGTCTGTCTCTCTCCCTCAAAAGTAAACATTAAAAGAAAAAACAAAGTGAACGGTATGTGGTTCTATTTCTGATTTTGAGAAAATACTGCAAGAGGTTATCTGACCTGCTTGTTAGATCTGTTTCTCAGCTTTCTAACACTGCAGCCTGGTTATTGGATCTTCCTTCTTAACTCCTTGTCCCCACCAGCTCTGAAGGATGATGTCAGGGGCTCTGGCAGCAGTGAACTTGCCATTTTTCTTCCACCTGGTACTTACCTTCAGTTCCAAGTCTCTTCGGATGGCACCACGAAGTTGCAAAAGGCAGATTCTTCCCCTTCTGTCAGCCTCCCACCCTCCTTCCACTCCCTACCTGCAGTTAGCACGTATTTATTTAGGCTACAAGTCTACTTATGTCCCCTTTCTCTTTTGGTTTAAAGCTACTGTAATCTCTTGTCCTGGATGACTACAGCAGCCTCCTAGCTGTCCAGCTGGCTTCTTCCTTTGTTCCTCTCTAATCCATTTTGTATACCGATGCCAGTGATCTTTACGAAGCACAGATCACATGTTACTCTGTTACCCCCTTCCTTAAAAGTCCAAGTGGCTTGCTTGCCCTCAGGGTAAATGCAGTTAGTGGCTTGGCCTGTGCTGCCCTCAAGCTCTGGTTGGGTGTGTTCAAATCTCACTTTACTCTCTTCCCTTCCCTCTCACTCTTCTACTTGGGCACTAGCCAGTAACACTCAAATGGGCCACAGAACTTTATCGTTCCCTGGACAAGTGGGTCACACTCTGGGGCTTTGAAGGCTGCTGGATTTTCCTGGCCACGTTACTAACCAGCCCAGTAGCAATGCCACTAACTGCACTGATCATTAGATCACTGAATGTTGTGTGAGTTTTCTGTTGGTTCCCTTGTCCTTAGACTATCTGCTACTTCAAATGTGTTGTCAGATTCTGCCCTGAGGTCAGTTGATGTATTTATTTCTCTGTGTGCTTATGCCACCAATTTGATAAGCTTTATCAACAGGCTCATTTGGTTTAAACTTTAAGAATTGCTTTTAAAAATCCAATTTCGTTCTTTAACTGTGTAAACCATTTATGTGGGTTCAAAATCAAAACTATGTTCATTCACAGTTTTTTTTTAATAAAAATTTTTTATATATATTTATTTATTTTTGAGAGATAGAGTGAGACAAAGTGAGAGTGGGGGAGGGGCAGAGAGAGAGGGAGACACAGGATTGGAAACAGGCTCCAGGCTCCGAGCTGTCAGCACAGAGTCCGTCGCGGGGCTTGAACCCACAGACCGCGAGATCATGACCTGAGCCGAAGTCGGACACCCAACCGACTGAGCCACCCAGGCGCCCCTCACAGAAGTATTTATTTGATGCCTGATCCCTCTTCTCTGTTTCTCTGGAGTCTTGCTACCAAAGTTCTGGGGGAGTTTTGCCCATCTGTTAGGTAAGAAATGTTTCACTATAGTTTAAATTTGTTTTCTCCTTTAATGAGATACAGGGTATCTGCCCAAAGTCTGTGCCATAAGTTGCAAAAATATTTTTTTCAATTTGTCATATGCCTAACTTTGCATATGTTGTTTTATTGCTGTACAAAGGTTTTTCATCTTTATATAGTTATATTTATGGGTCTTACAGTGTATTGCTTTAGAATTTGAGTCCCAGGAAGTTTGCCCTGCTTTTAATTTATGGGGAATTTGTTAATGTTTTCTTCCAGTGTATGTATGGTTTCACCCCCTCCCCCCCCCCTTTTTTTTAAAACACATCAAAGGCTCCTATACATTTGGAATTTATCTTGACATTTAGTTTGGTTTGACGAAGGATCCAATTTTATCTTTTCCCCATTAGCCAGCCGGGTATTCCAACACTACTTATGAAAAGTTCTTATCTTTTCTCCATTGGTTTGAGATCTTGTTTTTACTGGATACTAAGTTCTTGTATACGTTTGGGTTTCTTACTGGATTTTCTGTTACGTTCCATTGGTTTGATCGCCAATTCACATGCCGTTACAAAACCATCTTAATTTTAGAGGCTTTATAATTTGTTTTAACATCCAGAAGGGCCAGTTTTTTCATATTGCTCTTTTTTAATGTTTTCCTGGCTGCTTTTGCTTGCTTATTCTGCCATATAAACTTTATAATCAGTTTGTCTAGTTTCAGGCAGCAACAACTGGATGGTGTTTCTGTTGAGATTATGTTAAATTTAGCTGAGAGAGAACTGACATCCTCATGATATTGAGTCTTCATATCCAAGATCGTGGCCTGTGTTTCCATTTGCTCAAGGCTACTTTTGTGATTTTTCACGAGTGTTATGTTTTTCCCTGTGTACGTTTTGTATGTTTTCCGTTAAGTTTATTAGATTTTCTTAACTTAAAACAAAAAAATTCCTTTTAGAATCTCTCCAGAACTTCTCAGAGGAGTGTACACACCGACATACTCAAAACGTTTTATCGTTTCAAACGGTTCATAGGTGTCCCCGTCATCCTGTCCTGTTACTGTCTCCTCCTTTCTTCCTCCGGTTCCCATTCTCGGTATGCAGCTCTGTGTCCTACATACAGCAGGCAGTCAATGCATATTTGTTGAGTGAATGAATAAAGCAGGAAGGGGAAGACGAAAGTGGGTGACAGAGTGAGCCTGTAAGACCGATATATGGGAAGATTGTCCTTGTATAGACATCCAGACATTCCTAGTCTACACTCTGCAGCAGTGAATTCACTGGTTCATAGTGTTTTGGTTTCCGTACCCTCATCACAGAACTTTAAAAAATACCATGTTGATAATGATAGTTACCATTGAATACTACAAAGTCCCCGGCACTGGCTACGTATTTTCTGTAATTACTTCTTGTAATCCTCATAGCAACTAAGCAATAGGTATGAGTATCTCCGTTGAAATATGGAAGTTTCAAACATACAAAAGTGTGAATAGCTTTATGAGCTCCTGTATAGGTGTTACCTCCCTTTTACAGTTGAGGAAACAGGTTTTGAAAGAAAGATTAAGGTGACTCAAGGTTACAAAGTTTAAAATCCGGTTTAGAACCCAGCTCTTTTTAGCTCCCTATTAAGGTTGTTTTTCAAATTTTAAACTCCCAGCTGGCCAGGGAAAAGCAGAAGCAGGGGAGACAGTCAAGAGCCACTCCATTCTAAACTCCAGCTGGTACTTCTACATGAGTTTTCCCTTCTAATTCGTGTCACAAAGATTTCCCTCACTTCTGTTTGCAAACAGTAAGTCCTCTTATCTCCCTCTCCCTCCTACTTCTCTTCATGCTCTGCTCTTCCTTGCCTTCTCTTGGTCTACTTTTATTAGTGCAGTTCGCCTTTACTTGATTTTAATTCTAATTTAAATTTTCTTTTATTTTGAGAGAGCGCACGTGCATGTGCACACAAGTGGGGGAGCGGCAGAGACACGGAGAGACAGAATCCCAAGCAGGCTCCACGCCATCCGTGCAGAGCCTGATGCGGGGCTCAGACTCATGAACTGTGAGATCATGACCTGAACCGAGAACCAGAGTCGGACGCTTAACTGACTACGCCCCCCAGGCGCCCCCAGTGTTACTTGATTTTTAAAAGCCCGCCGGTGTTTTGAGTCCCCAGCTCCAGGCATGATATTGGGAACGGAGTAGGAACTTACGAATTTAAATCACAGTAAGACTTGCCACTCTTCATTTATCCCATGGGTTTGGTGTGGGAGCTCGTGAATGGTGCTCTGAAGCTGGCTGTCATTGGCTTTGACCGCCCTCCTACCGGCTGCGCACATAGCTGCCATTCTGCTGTCAGCTGCCCTCAGTTCCAGTCAGGTTCAGACCAGAAGGAGACTTCCTAAGGTCAGAGTCCAAGGCAGCAGAATAATTGGCCCCTAGGGTTCTGGATTTTTTTTCTCAGGCAGCGAAGTGTTGAGGATAGAATCTTCCATGTCTTCCTTGGACATTTTTGAGCACATACTGTGGAATCCCATAGGCCCTTTCCCAAAGGTAGAGGCAGTAGAGGAGTTATCCTCTTTTGCATTTTTGTTGTTGTTAGCTCCTCAAGTTAACCCTTTTGTCATACTACCTGGCGGTAAATGAGAGAAAGCTAGAGATGAACATAATTCCCACTTTGAAGACAAAAAGCTTCCAGCGTTAGGAGGAGAGGAGAATGGAGTTCATCTGTGAAGTGTGCACAGAGGTGCAGCGAAGGCTGGCCGATGTGTGTGGTCTCCTAGGACAGTGATGGGGGAGGCGGGGGCTCCAGAGTCCTTCCTGCGTCTGCCACTCGACTGCTGAGGTACAAGGAAAGTAGGGTTCCAGGCTGAAAGCGGTCCGTTCTCTTACCGCTGCTGTGCATTCTGTGAGAGCAGGGTTTTGCTGAATTTCTTCTCTATGTAAGGACAAGCCTTAGTTAAGGGCATTTGGCTGAGCTCAGTAAAGAGCTGCTGGATGGACAGGCGCACGCTGTCCACTGAATAGGCTGGGAAATGGGGCCATGGAGCCCCGCTAGGGCTGCGTGGGCTCCACCTCCCCCAGCAGCACTATCACCGGCTTTGTGGCCTTGGACAGGTTGGGGCCCTTGAGTCTGTGTGTGGTGCCTCGCATAGCACACAACAAGTAGGCTCTAAATTATTGTTATCTCCTCTTAGTTTAAAAGCACCTTATTTATGTACACTTACGATGAGCACTGAGTAATATATAGAATTGTTAAATCTCTGTGTTGTACTCAGATAACAATACGTTAACTATCCTGAAATTAATCACGCAACAACAAAAACCCCACTTAATTTACTGTGCATCTGCACTGTGTCTGAACAGAGAAGTTACCCAAAAAGTAGAAGGACTGAGGCATGAAGAATTCCACTGCTTTTTCAATTCTCACGCGTGGGCAATATCCAGGGGTGGAGGTTCTGGCTCTGGAGTCAGACAGTGTGGGTTCATTTACAGACTCTACACTTCACCGGCTTTGTGATGTGGGGCATGCCGTTTACTTTCGATAGGCCTCTACTTTCTGGAAAGCGGAGTTAGTTAATAATAGTGGCTACCTCACAGGTTGTGCAAAAATTTATGTAAGGCTACCATGCGAAGTGATTGGCACAGTGCCTGGGATATGATACACCTTCGCAGTGTTACCTCCTATTGTTAGATCACTACCTTAACCCTTCCAAACTGTGTCTTTTTCCCTTTCCAAAATGTTTTTCTCATCGCTTTCCATTTAGAGTATGTACCTAAAACACAGGTAACAGGAAGAGTCTCATTTCTGTCATTAGTGAACTGGAAGATCTTAAAACACTTGTCAGCGTCTCCGTTTCCTCATCTACAAAATGTGGAGTTGGACCAGGTGATTTCAAAAATTCCTGTATCTCTTGCTAACTTCCAATGAGTTTAAGACTTTGAATTCTCTCAGATTATAGCCCAACACTCTTTGGTATGAGAGACCTAACCCACCCCATTTTAATCTTGCTTTCCTAGCTGCCTCCCATCCTAGACAGGCTGTTTGAAACCAGCAGCATGGTTG